AAGTCATATTCCTTTTGCCCCGCCTTACGCCCACAGCGGGGAAACAGGTTTGGTACTTTTGGAGCAATAACAACTTCGCTATTAATGAATTTATCGGACACCATTTTTGACAGCTTTACTTAAAAAACAAAAAAAAAAAAAAAGAAAAACGTTTCGACGTCCGTTTGCCATAGTAACGTTATTGGGTAAAATTTCCAACTTATTGTTATTAACATTAATACACCTAAACATAAAAGGTTAATGATGATATTTGAGGGAAGGGTAAAACTGAACCGCAACATCATATACATGTGCTTTTGTTTCGTAGAGACAATATGGAAAAGCTTAAAAGTACCTTGCTGGTTGTGTTCCTACTTGGAGAAATGTTTCTTTCGTGCGTGTGTGGTGTCCATGTCAATATGCACGGAAGAGACCTGAAGCCTGTTAGCATTAGAAATGCACGTCCGAGTACTTTGCAAGAAATGGGAAACGTCCCCCATAAAGCGCGAAACAACCGGCGCAAAGCTGTCAACGACAAGTACGAGACGGTTAAAAACTCACAGGAATTTCCAAAATTCTTCAATGCTGGTTTCTACGGAACCCCCAAACATTAGAGATAAATAAACGACTGACCGTAATCCAAAACCTTTAAAAGATAAATTGTACGAGAATTGTAACTTTAATAACATAAGAAACGAGATGTAACAAAGATGATTTCTTTTTTCATTTAATAGCTTACTTCTAGAAACACTTCATTTTCTAGATTAAAGGAAGAGTGGATAGCATCTCCCATCAAGGCCATCTGCTTTTCTTGAGCTCTCCATGCCCAGCCGAACACAATGGGTTATAGGAGATTTCTTAACCTACTCGAATCGAGAAATTTCGGAATTGAAATAAGCTTACGTATAGAATGTGAGAAGTCTATAGAGCGTTTTCACTCTAGTTGAACAAAAGAAAGTGTGTGTTTACATAAGAAGTAAACAGTTCGACTCTCACAGGATTTTCTTGGAACACCAATATGGCCGTCTTGACCGTCATGTGAAAAGGGACATCTGGCTCTTTTGTTAAAGTACTGTCTGGCGACATCGGAGCTGAACTTAAATGCTCTTTTTGCATCTCTTTTGGACTAAACAACTGAACAATGACACTTCGTTGTACGTCTGATCCAATGGGCACAATTGCTAGGTAGTCTTAAAGCCCGAGCATATTGCGTCCAATTGCACACCCTGTTGTTACCTGTTGTTGCGTGTTCTTTGGAGTTGTTGCAGCAGTTTGCACACCGCAGCCAACAGCTCCCAGCATTCTAGGGCCAACAATGTTGGGAGTTGTTGCGTCCGTTTGCACGTAGCTTGACTTTTTCGTTAGTGCTTTCCACAAACCCTCGGTTCATCCGTTTACTATGCTTACCTGCCATAATAGCCTGGTCCACTAATTTTCTGACTTACCTCTATGATCGTTTGCTCCTGCCAATTCATATTCACTGTTTTGCGGGTTCAGGTTCTCGTTCTCTCCCCCCCCAGAACACGTGTTTTTTGAAAGTGTTTCCTTGAATAGTTTATAAACATCTCTACCATTCATTTAATCATGGGCTCAAGCCTTTGATTTTGAAGTAGGGAATAAGTTCATTTTTTTCGGGGTTGTACTCACTGCTTTGGTGTAGGTCATCTCAACACAGGCCGAAGTACATAGGACATATCTAAGTGGTTTCCTGCAAGTTCTGCGAAGAGATTTGAATGCATACACATGGTTCGCCACTAATAAGAGCTCGGGATGAATTATTCCGGTAGAATTCATAGGTTTGTTAAGTGTTTCGGAGAAAGACCGAGTGGCATTGAACTGTTTTGCCTTTCTGGGCCAATTCCCGAGCAAATCCCGAGCAGAGATCATGTTATCTAAACCTCACTCTTTTAGTTGAAGACAACATACTCAGTGTCGCCCCTAAAAGCGCAATGGACGTTTCTCATTAAGAACTGTCTCTAGCAAGAGCCATAATGGGACAGAGACTCTAGCTATCTGTAAGAAAGATTGCCACTTAAAATGTAATAATTGTTATTCACCAGTCTTCAACGAAACTACGGGCAACGTGATTAGGTTTAAATAAGGCAGTCAAGCGCTCTGTATGTTTTCTTCTTTCATTCTTCGCTCGCCTCAGTTTTCTTCTACCTTCCCTTTCAAATGCTAACCACGCACGTTACTCCGACCCCCTTCAAACGCCTACCAAGCACGCTACCTTCTCTCTTCCGATCCCCTTCAAATGCCAACCACACAAGCTTTTCTCCTTCCCCTTCAAATGTCTACCAGGCACGCTTTCTAATCCCTTCCCTTTCAAAGTTAACGCTTGCCTAGCAAGCTAGCTTCTCCTTTTCCTTCAAACACCAACAACATTCGGTATGCTCTCCCTTCTACGTCAGACGCTTGCCCAGCAGGCTACTCTCCCTTTCATATTCAATCGCCAAAATGCTTCTTATCACCTACCTTCAACTTCAAACACCCAAGCACACTAACCTCTCCCCTTTTAAAAGCTAAGCTAACCACACACACTACCTCCTCTCTTCACCTTCACGTCAAACGCCTGGCATAATCGTTATTTTCCCTTCCCCTTTTCGTGGCAGGCCACTTGCCCAGCTTACCCACCATTATTCTTCAAACGCCTCCCACGCTCGCTACCCTTTCCCTCCCGCATGAAACGCTGAAACGCCTGCCACGCTCGCTACCTTTTCCCTCTCGCTAGAAACGCCTGCCAGGCAGGATACTCTTTCCCTTTCGCTTGAAACGCCTGTCACGCTTGCTACCTTTTCCCTCTCGCTTGAAACGCTTGCCACGCAGGATACCCTGTCCCTCCCGCTTGAAACCCCTTCCACGCACGCTATCCTTTCCTTCCTTCTTGAAACGTCTGCACGCACGCTACTTTTTTTCCTTTCCCAGCTCAAACGTCGTCTTTGTACCCTGTTGACGCCTGCCTCCCAGTTGTTTTAATGATATGCAAAGTCAAGCTCTTAGCAAAGTCGATTAACTTCTATTTTGATTTTGATTTATCTTTATTTTGGAGTTCAATCACACATATATTTTTTTAGGTTAATATTGGCGCTTCTTAGGTGTTATTTAACAATTTGGTGTACAAAGGTCTAGATAGTATTAAAATGACTTATTCTGACACGATACTCCCCGCTAAATGCAAAGGGTCAGTTATTTAAACGAATTCTAACTTAGACCACGATTTAGGAAATCTTTTGACCTCCAGATATCTTCTTTAGTGGGTTATGTTAAGAAGGAAAATGCTTTTCCGAGCCTAAGTCACATGCTTTCACAAAACTATTCACGGTAAATGGTCTTTACATAGAAAAGTAACGTCCGGCAAATTGAAAATAGCTCAGAACGAGGTTTGTTGAACACTGGCTAAACGCCGTTTAAATAACTGTCCTAAAAGGTTGTGCGAGAAACATAATATTACTTAATTTCATTCAAGCGCTACTGAGCCTTCATCTTCCGTTAACTCATTCCCACTAGCACAATTTGCACCCGCTAACACTCAATCATTCACTTTTATCATTATAAAGTCTTTAACAAATTACCTTTTGTAATTGCATGTGAGGTTGCTAGATATTAAGATTTTCCTTCTAATTTCCGGCGTGGAAAAGAATGTGAATGAAATATAGTTTAACCTTAACAGAACTACGTACGACCAGAGCCGTATAAAAATGTCTTCCCCTAGTTTGCGCTACTCTTCGTCAGTCTTTTCATGGAAAAATGGAAGACATTTGTTAATAGGCCGCTTAATTTGCTTTTTATGGAAAGTCTCACTAAGCTTCACTTTTCAAAAGGAGCTTTTGCAAATTCTAAATATGCGAGTTTGGCGATTTTTCTTTTAATATCTTTTAATAATAACAATAATAATAATAATAATAATAATAATAATAATAATAATAATAATAATAATAACAGGGGCGGATCTAGGGGGAGGGTACAGGGGGTGCGCACCCCCCCGTGAGATGACCTGCGGTTTTCTAATACAACTGGTATTCTGCAAAAAACAACAAAAAAAAACTATGTGGTTTATTGGTGTTGAAGTAGAGCAAGAGACGAGTGCACCCCCTCCTAAAAAAAATCCTGGATCCGCCCCTGAATAATAATAATGATAGTAATAATAAAAAATTAGCAAATACTGAGAAAAAAAAACCATTACCACCAACAACATTAAACACGGTTAGCTGTTAGCTGCATCCCTCTTTACTTTTTCCTCCTCCACCCCTCAAAGGCAGTTTTTTTTACACCACCCGCCCCCGGGCCAGTAAGAATTCAAATAACCTGTTGCAAGAAATACCGTCAAGCTGAGCATCACGGTGCTTAGGAGGTTTAGGAAAGCAGGCCCAAAATGTTGAAAGACTATGAAAACCAGTCGGTATCCTCAGCATCACTTCTACAATGCAATTTATGACCAAAATGTCGGCAAAGTTGATAAAAATCGTCGTCTGTTAGTCGTGACGGAAGAATTTTACAGTTGCCATTAAAGGTTGAAATTTTGGGAGAAATCATTGTAAAACTACGATTGAATACAAACCCGCCAATGTACTGGGATTGCCTTCTGAATCAATCATCTACTATTGCTGTAAAAGTTTTGCACGTTTCTGGCGGCTGATGAGGATTTCATAATATAAAATGTTTCTACTTCAAAACAGTGGCAAGAATAACGTATCTTGTTGAGGTCTCACTATAATCTAACATTTAAAATGCATGTTTCGTAGTATGTTCATGGTAGTGAGTCGTACTTGCCGCATCTTCCAACAGTATATCAAAGGATCGAGGGATGAGTTGAGAAATAACAAAGCGTCAGAGAAAACGAACACTAGTCTGGGGGGACTCGCGGAAGATAGTACAAACATTAAAGCAATACATGCGTTTGGCAAGTAGCAAATCAAAAGCGTGAGATATAAGTAGAAAATGGCGACTGCAGATTTTTTCTTTCTGGCAGTGTCTTCGATCGCCACAGCGTCCTGAGAATCTAGATTTATGTGAAGGGCGTGAACTTGCATAATATGTTGTTTTAAAACTAAGTAAAGTTTAACGTAAATTATTGCTATTGCGACAAGACAGCCAAGGGTAATAAAAACGATGATTGCGAGGATTATCCTATCGGTCTTCTCAGAATGTGTATTTGTTCGCTGGGCCGAAAGAACTGCACTCAAAACCCAAATTGAGATAACCACAGCCACAACGCGTCTGTGAGTAACGATTTCCTGGTATCGGAGATGAAGATGAATTGCCAGGAATCTGTCAACTGATACAGCACAAATACCCAACAGCGTAGCAGTACAAAAAAATGTCGCTGAAATGGTATTCACTGTTGCCAAAGGTTTGAAAATTGGTATGTCTTTATTGATGATATGAAGTGCCACGTACAATGGCTGGACAAGCAAACCAACACAAAGATCTGAGACACTAATACTTAGAAGTAGTACTTTTAAAGGCTTCGGAAGTGATGGAGTTTTTCTCAACGCGATAATTGCCACGATGTTTAACAGGACGGCGGCATAACTTGTAAAGCTGTTCATGGCAATGGATAAGACTATCTTGTATTCTACTCCTGTCATTGTCGAGAGCTTCTCCTGTTCACTTTTATTTCTCGTTCAGTAGGCAGTTCGATTAACACAGTTCCAGTCCAAGGCTTCGGGACTGAAAAGTTTTACTCGCCATTCTTTATTCCATGGCCAGTCCTGTTTTTGATTTAAACATAAGTTAATTTTTAAACATACATCTCATACAATTCGTTAAATCCAGCATAAGCTTGGCTAAAACATAAAATATTCATTACTCTTTGTACTTGATCGTTCGTTGACCTGACGTTGTTTACTCTTTAAAATTTACCAATAGTGGCTTAAAATATTTGTGCATATTTATCATCATGGTTAGGGAAATGTAGCATTGATTCAGGTTTTTCAGCCTCGAGTATAATCAACAGGCATTAATATTCACTTTGATGCTGAAAATACATCATAGATTTCATAAATAACCATATGCCTGGCCGCAAAGTAAAACCTGAAAATGAAAAGCGGTGAATCATAGAATCTACATTTAGCTGCTGTTAAGCTTTGGAAAAAGTTGAAGAAGCTGGTAAATAACAACTTTCCACTGCAAGATGAAAAGTATGCTTCTTTTAAAAAACTAATATCCGGACTTTTGTCTCAGCCCCAAGAAGTGAGCCAAAAAATTTTCATGTCTCTTATTCTCATTTCCTTCGAATTCTTGTCCGTGCCCTACGCCGATAAATAAGACTAACCGGTGTGGTTCGTTGATCGTTGATTCACTTCCGCTATACGTCATTTTACAGTGCAGAAAACCTCATAAAGAGTGTTCATTGAATTTTTACTTACAATTTAATTAAGAGCCATTATCTGAGAAAATCGAGAATCACACGACACTCGTCAAAAAATCGAATTTTTTTTTATTTTGCCAAAACATCCCTTTTAGTGACCTTATTTAAGGAAAAATAGTTTTGGGTTCAAACGATTCATTTCAAAGGAGAAATTAGGAAAAGTTTAAAAAATCGATTTTACGCTCGTTTTTCGCACAAAACACGGCAGGATGCAATGGCAACTTCGAGAGAAGGGTGAACGCGTAAGAAACATTCCCTGACATTGAAACTTCACCGAATTATTATTTTGTTCTTACTCTTGAAAATCCTAAAAGAAAATTTGATAAACAATGCTTTACATTTTTATAATCGACAAGTCTAAAGAGGTCATATTTGTGACGTTAGACGTGCTAGAAAATGAAGGCCAACTTTGACTATTAAAAAAGGCCTCTGGTATATGCCGCTTGATCATAAAATCAATATAAAATGGAACCTTGGCTTTTGTACTAACTTACTGGAAAGTTTTAGCTCTGGAAATCAAATATCATCCTGACACCAAAGCAAGCGGTGAGAGCAATTGAATTGGGAAATTTATGCAAATTAGACGGCTTGCGGACGGTTGTCAAACTAAAAGAAAGGTTTTACATGAAAGGATTACTCACCATTGCTTGTAACACGTTTTTACGGCAAGGAAAGTTATTTCCAACTTCTTTTGCGTCGTTTTGAGTCACAAAATATATAATTTTTAGCCAAAAGACAAACGTACGTTTGCTCAGCAACTGCGTCCGAATCCGGCCGTGAATCGAAATAAAGTCACAACACGTCGAAGCAAGAGTTACAAGAGTTTTTACTTCAGTCAGGAGGCAAAAGGAATAAAAATTCATCGCAAACTAATGACTTCGATTTTGAAAACCTTTCATCACTTCAATCGTTCGTCGGCTGATAATAAACATCGCATAAGATCGTATGACCTTTGGTGTGACCGGAAATTGGTCACACGCTTTAGTCACGTCATCATGCTGTCACGAAATTTTCGTAGCTGTTGTCAGCAATTTTAATACAGTTTTCACATTTTTTGACAAGAAATCCTCTCATCGCAGTAGAAACAGCCATGCATATTTATTTTTCTTTTATTTACCTACTAGGCTTTGAAACAGCTTTTTTGCCTTCGAAGTACTAAACAGGAGGGGTACCTCGGATTCCAAGTGTCGTGAGTGATCCGTGGAAGCGAAAATTAAGACCAAAAAAGAACGAATATTTTGAATACTTAAGTAAAGCCACAGCTAAAAAAAAAAAAATGTTCAAAATATTTTCAAACTAAGAAAAAAACATACTTCGATCATCCCCGTGACTTGGAATCTGGCCAGAGTACCCCCTCCCCCTCCCCTCCTCCCCTATGCCGGGTCAAAATACTAAGTTCCCCCGGCCCAATGTCCCATAGTCAAGGGAGTATACTCTCTTGCTGTAGTAAAGAACTTGCAGAATAATACCAATTCTCCGTGGCCAACGGATTCAACGCTACAGTTTACTTTTGGTTTTGCTTGTTGATTTTTTCGCTATTTGCTCACGATCAGGAGCCTATAACCCCAACCACGACCAAATTATGAAACCTGTTATTACCAGAAAAAAAAAAAACAAAGAAACAGTCAGTCAGATAGACAGTACATAATTAAAAAGACCTCGACTAAGATTAAAAAAAATCAATACATGACACTGTCGAATGCGAAAACCCAGAAACCATTTTGTGGAAAAAAGGTTCGCATACAGCTATCAGCTGCTTTTGTCCACAACTCGCCGGTAGAGGTGCGCGGAAACTAGTGATTGTGAAATGGCTTCAAACTATGATCCTATACTGTTGGAATATTACTTATCACAGAAAGCTACACCTGATTTCTTCTAGCAGACCCAATCCTCTTGGTTCGTGTGGACAAAGTAGCTCATCCCGGCTATTTGCACCATGCTACCATAGTCTCCCTAGATTCCCAAGCCTCGCAAGCAGACCTTCCTGTCCCACGAACGTTGGGTAGGATTGTAGGACGAGCCAAAAGAAAGTGAAGGCTATAGGCTCTCGCGATGATGCAAGGAAGGTCGAGTATTATATTCCCCTATCCTGGTCGCCCAGGGTAAGTCTGCGGAGGAGAGTGACTGAGGGGCTGTATGTTCGAAAAGTTGACTAACGCCCCCGGGACTAACGCTTTCACCCTGCTTCTTCTTATTCGCTTGATAGTGATTTCCTGTTGTTAAACGTTTGAACAACAGGGCCCTAAGTATTGTGTTTCGTCTTGCACTAAAAACCCATAAACCTTATAAATTTCACTATGGGACTTCAACACCTCCCTTGAATGATCCATTTCGCTAAACGGGACCTCAAAACAACGATTCTGTGTATCCTAAGGGAGTGTATACTATACTTTCCTGGCTCTCGTCACTCACAGTGAGGTGATGGTGGCTTACACAGTCCAACCTCCATGTGCGACTGCCAATCCAAAAGACCAAATTTTCCCAGTCAAAGCCTTACAGTTGGAACTTCCAGTAAACGACCACCTTCTTTAAGTGACTGCGACCACTTTTTGGGCGTCACGGTTAATTGTTTTCCATAAGCGACCAGTTGACGCATTCTCTGCTCTCTATTTTTGCTGTGTGCACTATGTTCCTTAGAAAATATGAAGACCTTTAGCGACATCGTGGAACTACACATATCCTAACTTAGTAGATGTAGCCAACAAAGTGAAGATTATGTTGTGATTCTAGACTATTCTATATCTCACTCACCTGAATCCCTCTTTAAATTGAGCATGATTTAAAAGCTGTATTTGTCAAAAGAGGTAAAAGATAATATTTTGCCAGGAATTTGTTACACCGCCATTTAATAGAATGTGCCTGGACCTCTTCTCGGAATAGACCCCATGTGGTCCGATTCTTCTAAACGACCACCTCCCGTTAGGGACCACTAAGTCTTTGCATTTTTGGTGGTCGCTTACTGGAGGTACGACTGTATTACTTTGACCTATCAGAGGCTTACCGATAATAAAGGGGATCTGGAAGGGGGCATGGATGCGACAATCACATGCAGGTCGCTTACTTAAAATAGTAGACATCTAACTGACAATCAAAGTTTGTGCTTATTATTGGGGTTATCTGGTGTTTACTCACCTCCCAAGCTACCCTGGGCGAGCCAACTTTTCCTCCATTTCCTTACAAAACTTGGTAAACCATTTACATGAGAAACAAAAGGTTGGTTCGGATAGACGCCTTACTACCAGTAGTGGGCGGAGTTGAGGGCTTCCGGAAGTCAGCCCTCCACTGAGCCGGTAGTGGTGGCCTCACCCTTCCAGCCCGGCTAATATTTCTCCACTTTGGCTCGCCCAGCTACAATCGGCGACAAAATGAGTTGAGACACTTCGCCCAAAAGTAGGCTTTTTTACGTTTTATGAACTTCAAAAGGAGGAAATATAGCTTTCCTCCCCCATCCCCTCCGTACAATGTTGTGCCCTTGTTCTAGCTACCTATAGAAAACAACAAACACCCCAACTTTGAATGGAGGGGACAGGGGAGGGTGCGGATTCGTTTGTTCTCCGAAGTCACCCTATTTGTCTCAACAATTTTGTCGCCGATTGTAGTTGGGACAACACGGTCAAGGCTAGACAAAGACAGCATGCGCAAGCACTGTTGACTCGGACAAAGTGGTCAGTTTTTTCCTCATATAAACGCTCGCAAAAGTTGGCTCGGCTGGGAGGTTGACCTTCTCTCCGGCACAGCTTTTCTCCATCCATGGGTTCCAAACAGTCTTTTAGCAGTCACGTTTGAAATTTATAGGAAAATGATGTAGCACTTCAAAAAATAATAATAATAAAAATACACTTTTTTCACAGCCTGTCAATGCCTAGAAGGTGTCTATAAAAGAAATCAACTGCAGAACAGGAGTCAATTTCAGTTTTTTGCGCTTTTCACGCTAGCACTGCGAAGCGGACTGGGGGCGCGAGACACGCGCGATGCATGGGGAACAAGTTCTGCAGGCTATAAAAGAAATTAAAAAATAAATAAATAAATAAAGCAGGCCTGATTTTATTTCGATGAGTCTATTTTTTGTCGAAAGCAAACGTGAAAAATCGTATTAAAATTCGTGACAGTATGCTAACGTGACTTGAGGGTGTGACCGATTTCCGGTCACACGCCAAAGGTCATACGATCTTGTGTGAT